TACTTCATAGACAGTTTTTTTTTTGCTTCAATTTGTTACATTTTCAATAGTCAACCCATGTACAGATACATGCATGGGATGGAGGCGTGGTCGATTTCCAACCAAAAAGGATAAGTCGGCGGGCTAGTAATGTTGAGAATGCTATGAAGTCTGAATGATGTTTTGATAGCCCGCTGTTGCTAGGGGTAACCCCGAATACTGAGATAACTGGATCTGGCTCGATTCTTTTTTTACAAATATAAGAGAACGTATTGAAAATCTCTGACCAGAATGTGTGTAGTTTTGAGCATGTCCAAAACATGTGCCCTAGAGTGGCAGGGGCCTGATGGCATCTTATCTTCGTCACTTAGGGTGGGCAAGTCCATATTTTCTACAAAATTGTTTGTAAGACAACTTTCCGAACTATATAAGGAGGAGTAAAAATGTTTAAACTGATCATTGATGTCTTTCGGGTCTGATTATAATTGACAGCCGAAAATTGACGTAACTGATGAGAAAGCAGCCTACTCGCACGTTCTCCATGCTCATAGTGGCTCTGTCTTGATTTTAAAAATTTCTCTTCAGCCTGTTTAGAAGCAAGAAGATCGAACTCTGTCTGCAATGCAATCCTTTTCTTGCGGAGGTCTGTCGATGGAGAGTCAGAGAGTTGCTGATCAACGTCATGAATAAGCGTGGTTAGTTCTGCGAAGCGTTTCGACCTGCTTTTGTTCAGTCGAGATGTGTATTCTATTATCTGACCCCGCAAGTATACTTTTAGTGTTTCCCATAAGGTAAATATATTGGTATCTGGCTGGTTAGTTTCAAGGAAAAAGTCAATCTGAGCCGAAATGAAGTCCACAAAGTCCTTTTCTGCTAAAAGTGTAGGATTGAGATGCCAGTTGCGCCTTGTGGCTACATTGTTCTGGAGCCAGAGCTCCATAATGACTGGTGAGTGGTCAGAGATGACTATACTATCATATCCACACAAATTAACAAGTGGAAGCATTTTTTTGTCTATAAGGAAAAAATCAATCCTTGAATACGTCTGATGTGCAGTAGAAAAAAAGGAAAACTCCTTCAGTGTTGGATTTTTAAATCTCCAAAGATCTACCACACCACTGGACTGGCAAAATGCCTTAATAATATGAGCAGATTTGGAGAGAGGGCCTACTGGGATTTTAGAGCGGTCAAGAGAGGGTTGCAGGACAGTATTGAAATCTCCTCCCAATATCAAGTGGTGTGTGCCTGACTCTGGGATACAACTAAACAGTTGCTTATAGAACTCAGGGCTGTCCCAATTAGGGGCATAGATATTGACTAAAACCACTGGAAAATTATACAGCCTGCCCTGAACGATAACAAAGCGCCCATTTATATCAGCCACTACTTTTGAAGATACAAACTGCACATTTTTCCCATTTAAGATAGCTGTTCCTCGACTCTTGGAGTTAAATTTGGAATGAAAGACTTGTGATACACAACCTCTTTGTAATCTGGAAACATCTGACGTGTGTAGATGTGCTTCCTGTAGGAATATTACCTCTGCCTTAAGTTTCATCAGGTGGGAAAATACTTTACTTCGCTTTACGGGGTGGTTGAGTCCCCTCACATTCCAGCTTACAAATTTTGTTGATGATCTACTCAACCCATCTAGGAAGGCCATGGGAAAAGGGGACTGACTGTCCAGAAAGATTCACCTGGCAATAGGTCCACATCTCTAGCCCTGGGGAGAGGGGGGGTGGGAGAAAGAGAGAAAGACAAAGAGCAGAGCGAGAGAACAAAAAAACAAATAACACAAAAACACATAAAAACATAATGTAACATGTAACCCCAATGTGCTGGGCCTCTCCCAACTGAGCAGGCTGGCACCCTCCCTCCCTCCTAAGCCCATCGTATGAAAAGCCACCGCGCTCAACATCTTACATCGGGGCTCGAGGCCCGAGAGACAGCTGATGTACAACAACATTTGAGAGTTAACACTGTAACATTTTCAGTCAAGGAGACCTGTTCAGGTGTGGCACATAGTGTCCCTCGTTTCATATCTATGAATGGTGTGTGTAGTGTGTGCTGAAAATATTATCTAGAACTGTTAGGCGTGAGCGAAATCCAACAAAGGAGATTTCAGATCTGCAAGCATGGATGTTGTGGTACACCCTCCTGAGAATCCACGGCGAAGGCGCTGAGTATGCACTGGCACATGGAGAAGAGTGACAAAAGAAGAAGTAACTCGAAAGGGGATGTCAACAGTCTGCTGTGGGCGTCTTTGAGAAGCAGCCCCTTGACAGTATCAAACGAGACTGATGGCACCAGAGCTTGTTGTTACGAAGGAGGAAATCCAACAGGTGATGTGACAGACGGACAACATGCGCCTATTTGAAACCACTCCAATTCCATGAATTTTAATGCAGACACAGAATGGAAAACAGACAGAAATAATACGTAAAAAAGCATCAAGAGACAAACATTGAGGAGCTTTACTGTCAGAAAACTGGTGGACTCACAAGTGATTCTTATTGAGGCAGATGAGATAAGGCGAACTGCTCCGGATGCAAAGTACAAACTCATGCCAAGAGGCTCACTCCAAAAGAAGAGAATTATCCAACAGGGATCTGATCAACATACATCGATGAACCTCATTATGAACCCAGGGAGACCACTGAAAGGGGGAATAAACTATTGACCAAAAGCGAGGAGCGGGGGAACTAAACACCACAGTGAAGCAGCTCACTTCAACCAGAAAGGAAATCAATTTTGAGGAAAGAGGAAATTATCCCGCCGGCTGACATGTCAAGAGCAATACAACAGTCTGCTCGAACGAACGAGGGCTCCTCCAAGCGTCGGCATTCTGATCTCAAGAGGATGAGAAAGGAGAACGTTGGATGACTAATCTAATTCCCTCCTAAAATACCAACGGGAGAGGGCTAGCATGGAGAAAGAGGATACATTGTTGCCATCCGGATACACGTAAAGCAGAACCTGTCACCCCTCATCTTCCTCCTCCAAACTCAGGAGAGAAAGACTCCAAAACAGTACAGGTTGGAGACATGGAAACGGGAAATGTGAGCTTTTACTCCAATGCATTGAGTCGGGAGGCCTGTGGATTACCTGAAGCAGCTTCAGTACGAACCAGATGAAGCCCAGGAAAAGCGTGGCAAAAGGAGCACTAGCTCATAGGTGGTGCATTTGTAGAGACAAAAATCCTTGCTGCGGAACAACTCAGCAGCACAGATAGTCCACAGTGAGCAGAGGAACATATATCCTGGTGACCGGTACACACGCTCTGTTAGCTCTTTATACTGAGCTATACTACCTACAGAAAACCCTAGGAAAGACTTGTTAACAGTAGTGACTTACACGCCAGCCCTGGACTTCATGACCCAAGCCATCAATCAGAAAGATGGTAAGTCGAGAACAGCACCGCGCCGCAGCTGGTGACAGGGGACTACCACTACTTTGAAGTCTCGGAGGAGGCCAGCATCAAGCAAAGAAGATGGAAAAACCCGAAATCGATCAGGGGAGACATCAGAGGTCTCTTGAGTCACCTGGAGAAATCGTCAACCACATCAGACAGCACTGTTGAAGATTTAGTACCAGGTGAGTCTTAAGGGACTCTGAAGTCCCATGGAGAGCCAAGCAAGCTGTGAAAGAGATTATGAAAAAGAGGAGATTACGTGAAAGGAGACATTCACACACTAGCATGCAAGTTATCATGAGGACCATCGAGCGACTCAAAGACTTACGCATCAAATGAGCGAACAAGGGACGTTAGAGGGCACTAATACAAAGCATAATATAGCTGAGAAAACACAAAACAGATTCTTCAAACGGAATGCAGCGCAGGGGGAGCATTGCGAAGGAAATGGTAAAAACATCCATACAATCCTCACTCTATGAAGGAAGGAGCAACACGGTGGAAAAAGAGGAAGGTAGTGAAAAGGGTGTTCAGGGGCCAATAAAGTGTCTCAACTGCAAAGACAGTATTTCAAATGACAAACGTATGTATCTCCACACAAGCAAAAGTGCCAGTGAATCCAGTAACTGTAAAGCAGGTGGAGCATGATGCGTACATGAAGATAAGACTGAGAGATATAGCAGTCAATCCTGCCCCGCATGATGAAAACTTTCTAAGAGCGATTGA